GGCTCAAGGCACCTCCCACTTTTGCCCCCGATGCGTGCAACGAGAAGACGCAGGCGGCGCATGACCAGGCTATCAGAGAGCTTGTGGCGCGAGACAAGAACCATCCGTCGGTGGTGATGTGGACAGTGACCAACGAGCCTGCGTCGGCGGAGCCCGGTGCAAGGGAGTATCTCGAGCCGCTAGTCTCGTTGACGCGCGAGCTGGACCCGACGAGACCGGTCTGCTTCGCGAACATGGGGTTCGCTACGTTCGAGAAGGACCTCGTGACAGACTTGTTCGACGTCATCTGCCTGAACCGCTACTACGGATGGTACTCTCAGACAGGCGATCTAGAAGAGGCGGAGCAGGCATTGGAGAAGGACCTGCTTGGATGGCAGGCCAAGTATGGTAAGCCCATGATCATGACAGAGTACGGCGCCGAAGCTGTGGCGGGGCTACACGCCGTATGTGACGTCCCCTGGAGCGAGGAGTACCAAGGCAAGTTTCTCGAAATGTTCCACCGAGTATTTGACCGTGTTGAGACCGTTGTTGGAGAGCACGTTTGGAACTTTGCGGATTTCCAGACGACATCGAGTATCACTCGGGTGGATGGAAACAAGAAGGGCGTTTTCACACGGGACAGAAAGCCAAAGGGGTCTGTACAGGTTTTGAAAGCACGATGGACAGCTAAGCAAGCGAAAGATGTATGATCCGGTCTACGGGAAGAATAAAGATACTCAGAAACTACTCGAATGCTCTCATAATGACTGGAAGAGTGTACGGGCAGCTAATATACCCGATGGTCCGTTCCAAGTCCGCTGCGGTGCTGCCTCCGTCGGCCCCACACGGAGCCGAGGTACAAACTCACGGCCGGGGGTGACTAACCGTTAATAGGGGCAGCCGAGGCACCCCGCATCTTATCCCAAGCCCAAGACTACAAGAACAGTTCAACTCAAGTTCATGAGAGGGCTGTAATTGACTGGTTTTACATTTCTACGCTGGCATTATTCCAATTGCAAAACTCTACCGTGAACATGGCACGCCTTCCGTACCCCGATGTCAACGGAACTCCCCTCAACATCTCCAAGCTTCTCGCACATAGCCCAGCCACTGTCAACCATTGGTCAAAAATCGCAGGCGCTCACTTCAAAGATCTTGAGTTATCCTCCAAGAACCGGGAGTTAGTCATTCTTCTCAGTACAGCAAAGTTCCGGTCCACCTACGAGTGGACGCATCACAGCACAGTCTCCGCCAAGGAGGGTGTCACTGACGCCCAGCGCGAAGTGATTGCCCAGGCTGGAAGACAGAAGGGATACTTCTCTTCTCAAGGGAAACTAAAATCTCTTGCAGAATTGTTCACGTCAAAGGAAAAAGCCCTCCTATTGTTTATCGAGGCCGTTATTGACGGGCCAGAGGTTGCGGATGAGCTATGGACGAAAGCCAAGACTGAGTTTTCTGACCGGGAAGTCGTGGAAATGATTACTCTGCAGGTTAGTTTCCCTGTAGAAGTCCCTTAGTCTGAGTGCTAACGCAATCAGGGTTTCTACTACACCTTTTCACGCCTCACAACCGTCTTGAATGTAGAATTGGAGCCCTTCGCCAAGCCATCTAAGCTTTGAGAGAGGCGTCTCAGGGATCCCATTTTGGTCGTGATGGTCATTCGACGGCATTGGGGAAGCACTGCGAGAGGACATGTATCCGTGCAACATCCGTCACAGAATGCTGATCGCGGCTTGGCGGTCTGTATGACCCAGTGAAGTCACTTGCTCTTCCTTGACAATGGCCTGTAAGCTGTATTCTGTAGTCTGTAGCAAAACAGCTGTATGTGGCCAGACATCAAGATCGATCTCACAGCGAACGAAATGTTGTTCAAATGTTTTTCTAATCTCTTTTATATTATTAGAGTGTACTAAAACGTACCGATACATCCCCAATAATTAGAAATGGCCAGCACTTGATCGGATCATCCGAGTCGGCACACAGCCCCTATTCGTCTCGTGGATCTTTCATGATCATCGACTCTTTCTCCTTCTTCCCAAATTCTCCTCAAAGTCTCATGGGATATTACACCCACAGTCTCTATCGCTGATTAAAGGCAATTATGCGGTGGAAGCGTTGAAGTCGAGGGCGGTAGATGCGTTGCCAGCCTCGGCCTCGTCCTGGGCAATGTTGTTGTTGAGCTTCTTCTGCTCGGCGGCCATCTTATCGGCGACGTCCTCGCCCTGGGCCGCCTGAGCCTGCAGCTTCAGCATGGTGGCGGTAAGCTTGAGGACCTTGTTCTTGATCTTGCCGCGCTGGAGGGCGTCGGCCTCCTCGCCGGTGGCAGCCTCAATGGCGGGGTTGAAGGCCTCCTTCTCGGCGTCGTTGGCAATGGAGTTGACGCTGTTGAGGAAGTCCAGATCGGCCTTAGCGACGGTACTGAGGTCGGTGGGGAGACCAGAGAGCTTGTCGAGAGCCTCCTGCTTGGCGGTACCGGCAGTGCCGCCGCTGATGGAGAGGTCGTTGAAGGTCTGAGTGGAGAAGACGGTGGCCTGGCGAGCGCCGAGAGGAGCGGCGGTAGCGAGGGCAGCGAAGCCGATAGTGATGACGGAAGAGAACTTCATATTGAAAGTCGAAAGATTGTTCTTAAAGCAAGAAGTCGATGTTGTGGAAGACGAAAAGAGGGACACGGACCCGGATGGATTGAAATGAGTGATCAAGATGCGTTGAAAGAGATAGAAGACAGCACAGCTGTTTTAGAAGAGAAGAAAGAACAGGCAAGGTTGTAATGATTGTGAGCGTGATGAGAAGAGGAAAGAAGAAGCGGCACTAAGAGGAAGATCGAGCTGATCTTTATAGAATATTTCAGACGATCTGTCAGTCCGTTCACATTAGGATATGGGTGATATTGGATCAATGCATTGGCATGTTTGCGTCTCCATGTTACGCCATCCTTTTTTCTCCCTTGTCGTCGTTCTCGTGATATGTGCTCTAGACATCGCCCCTGGGCTCGAGTGCCCAGCTGTCGCAGTTGCAAAGAACTTCAGACCAGGGCCCAAAGTAGGTTGCATGCGGAGGTCAACATGGGATGACATGGGGCGTTCGAGACGGGGCGGGTTGAGACGTCAACGTTACGAAGATTCTTGGTGATTTTCCGCAGTGATGGATATGATGGATTGTGGAAGCGATGGCGACTCCGCGTTGAAGGAGGTCTGAAGTTCGTGACGCATGGGTGCGATGAAGCTGCCAAGATGTTGCGGCTGCATCTCCTAGGCCTGATCGGGAAGCCACATTACGGCTGGATCTGGTGAGAGGCGACAGGGAAGCCCCTGAATGGACGCCTCTCGTTACAACTTTGAGTCTGGTGAGTCGTGAGGCTCTATGAGGATGTTGAGGGGGGCGGATTGGAATTGGTGAAGGAGGCGAGGATCAGTATCATCGACGCAAGTGGGCACAGGGTTGGGGGGCTTGAAAGATGGGTCTGGAGCGATGCAGCTGTTCGTCACCCCAACCAAGCCGGAGCTGTCTACCGAACTTCAAGACCATACGGTAAGCATCTGAACATGTGAGCCAGGGTTCTGGATCTTTCCATGTCGCCTCTTCATCGGACTCTGCGGTAGCTCACAAAGAATAGAGATTGTGCCCATGACGGCGGCAAAGCTCCGAGGAATTTGACCCCACCACCATCCCCAAGGAGAGTTTCACGACCCCCTGTATCTTACCGCCAAGCTTATTTTTCAGACGTTGGAGGCCAATTTTCGAACGGCAGCAGCTTTGGCCGTGCCCACTTATGTCGCGGTCCTCCTTTGACAACTTACTCTCTCAACCGAGGAAGACCGTTTGAAGGCAAACGTTGAGCATGAGGTTTGGGCAAAGTTGAATATGGGTCTTGACGCTCATCAACCAGGCTAAGATTCTGCTGGATGATCCCCTGGTGATCCCAAACACCGCGACCAAAAAAGGGTCTTGGAGTTCGATTGGGTCCCTGGTGGACTCGTCTTCATCCGAGGCTCTACCCATCGGATCTCGAACTCATCCCATCTCTTCACCCGTGTCGCAAAACTTCTTTTGACGTCGGGAATGATGGTATGTCAAGTGTCACTGGCATGACTCTCAGCTCACAAGTCAAGCGGCCTGTGGGTATTGCATGAAGTCTGATTCCATTGATTGGACGGAAACGAAGTCTACCGAAGGTTTTCGGTCATACTCGATAGTTGAAGGACTAAGTTGCCTGCTCAACTGCTCTCACCTTGCATCTTAATGTTGGGCACTGAGATCGTACGCACCAGCTCTTCGCGAGGGTTCGCTGCAGACTAACCTTAACAACATATCCCCCCACGCCCGCTGTGAAAAACAAAGCAAATGCGCTAGACACTGACCCTCGTCAGCGCTGCTGGGCCCATTGGGCCTGAAACCGCTTCATCGCCCCCAGTCTCCCAATGTCACCCACTCAAGTTTAAGCGCTGCGGGGATGGGTGACAGACGTATTTTTGGATCCATTTCCGGATTGGCATATGTGTCTCATTATTGTTTGATTCTTGAAAACTCTGGGCATGTTTGGATGTTGCGGTCAATTTGCAAGAGGCGAACGTCTGCGGTATTCGTTTCCATGTCAACCATGCCAATAATGGGCAGGTAATGGTCTACCTAACCTTGGTCGCTGAGAGATGCTCGGTGTAATAACTTCAGGGATGGAAGGCAACATAACAAGACGAAGCGACCTGATCAACCTTCGTTTGACAGGCCGCCTGTGGATGAAAATTGTTCAGGACAATTAATCCATCATTAGAATCGTCTCGATATTTTTGCGATGGCCGACCTCCGGCTGAGTACTCATTGTTAGACTCTCAATAGCCTTCCGCAGAGATGTGTGAGGCGCGAAGTCTCTTGTCATATTTGCATATGGATCCACATGGTGTCAACGTAAAGACCTCTACCTGAGGCAGACTGCATCAAGCCCGCAGACGGATGTCGTTATGGCTGAAGCCAATTTGGCGATTCAACTTTAATGTTTCTGACCGCGTCGTGAGTAACTATCGACGATGGAGATGGAGGATCGTGAATCGGCAGGTACCGACTATGTCTTGGCGATGCTGGACGCGCTCCTTCTGGCAGCCTGGTCTCTCCCATTGGATGACTCGGATCATCTTGGCCAAGGTCTGAAATACACGACAGGCATATCGGGAGCACCCGTTCAGCATGCGATTCTGTGCAGAATCATACTGACTAATGCAGCCAAGCCACGGCAGACTGAAGGGGCAGGACTCGCTTGAACGCAAGGTCTTTGGCGTTGGTATTGTGCGTTGGACTGACCACAGTCACATATAAGCTGAGAAATATGATTGCGAGATAGACTCGCTCAATTATCGATAAGTAGCTTACTTCGTAAAACAGAGCGTTACGGTGATGATGCTGTGGGCACGCGGACTTTCTCGCCGGAGAAGGCCGAGAGCCGGACGCGATGGAATGGCCCCAACACCGGGCCGGGGCCGGAGTGGGGTTTACCAAGTCGGCCCCCAAGATACCTAATTCAGAAAACGCAGTGTGAGGGATGTAGAACGAGGCGACTTGTATGAGATGAAAAATAATGAATAAGTCGAAATCTTTAACGAAGAGAGACGGGCGCAGATTTCTAGAAGGAGAAATAGCAATATCTAAATCTTATCAGAACTTCGAAATGAGAGACACCATGTATTTTTATCCTTCTGAAGCATGCATTGCTAGATGACGGCGAGTTTCTCTCGGCTCCTCCAAAGGGTCAAAACACTACGCTCACGCGTTCGCCCGGGCGAATCTCCAGGGACTCTTCAGTGAGAAGAGCTGCCAATGAGGGCCATTCCAGCAATAAGGCATTTGCCCTCGAACTAGATCCAGGCGCACCAACCATGGAGCGGTATATCTCCAAGCCTGGAGCTACTGCAACGCCCGCTCCTCAAGCCACCATTTGGCCCTAGTTACGCCACTTCTTGCCGGAGGACCGAGATCTCACGCTTTCCCCGCTTGGTTGTCAGTAGGCGTACGATGACGGCAAAGACCGCATAATTAGTCTAGTCTCGGACTCTCAGTCGACGACAACTACATGCAAACCCAAGTAACACGACAGTACCACTCCAATGAGAGCCAGTCCAGAACAGGCGCTACAAGACGGGCATCCGGCGCAATCTCCAGAGCAAGCACCAGATATTATTGAAGCTGGTGGCGATGCGAGCGACGATGGGTTCCAGCCTAGCGGGTGGGATGCTTCCTCATCGGGTTCGACTTCCATCACCTCGTCGGTCTTAAACACATTCGTATGAAAATGGCAGACGGTGAGTTTTGAATGCGAACCCATGGAACGTGGGTTCAATAGATGCTTTTGGTCAAAGGCTTATCAGCTTGGACAATCAAAGCTATCACTCATTTCGGGATGGAAAATATCTAATTCCAAACGATGATATTGAAAAAAACGCGAAGAAACGAAGCATGCGATGGTCATGGAGCTCACTGATGGCAAGCTATTCCATGCTCCTATAGGCGACTCGCCCAGCAAGATTATTGATCTCGGCACGGGCACCGGTAAGTTTTATCTCAGACCTTCGGCGGACTTGAAGGCGGCATCCGTAGATATCGCACAGAAATTCTGAACGACTTTACAGGCATATGGGCAATGGAAGGTAGATAACACTCATCCTGAAGACAATGATCAATAAAGCCTGAAGATTGACAATCACCAGTTGGGGGTCACTACCCTTCCGCCGAGGTTACTGGCGTAGACTTATCGCCGATTCAGCCAAGATGGTACGCCCACTGAGTCCTCTTATGGCCATAATATCCTGATTTAGCGTACAGGGTGCCTTCCAACGTTCGCTTCTTCGTCGATGATGTTGAAGATGACTGGCTGGTAAGTGCTCTACTGCCTGGCGAAATGAGATCTCTAAACTGGAGGGTGTTGTCGCTGACAATGAGCGATATTCCTTAGCCTGTAAATAATTTCGATCTCATATATATGCGAAACTTGGCATCTCTGTGCATGATCTCCCAAAATCTTGGAGCGAGTCTTCGAGTAAGTTCGAAGTTGTGCCTCCACCCTCGACAATGGGGTATCAAATCCAGTGCAGCATCGTGCTCATGAAACACACTTTCTGAAATCTCAAGGCTGAAGCTTACGTCGGAACCCAAGTCTTCGGCGCCAATGTGAAGAGCGATGCCAGAACCATGCCCGATAACTGGCCTTTGTTGGAATCCTGGTCCAAAATCCGCGACGTCATGCACAAAATGAAGATTGACATCCAAATCGCTCCGCGCATCGGTGCGATTTTGAAAGACGCCGGCTTCGTCAACGTTCAAGTGAGATCATACAAAGTGCCGGTTGGAACATGGCCTCTCGGCAAGATCAAGCGTCTGGTTGGACATTGCATGCGCTCTATGACGGAGGAATTTCTGGGCGCCGCTGCGAGCAAACCTTTGGCGGCTCTGGGAATGAAACGGACGGAGATCGAGGTGTTTCTCGCGTCAGTTCGGAATGCGATCAAGGATCTGAATGTGCATGCGTATGGCACGTATTATTCTCGGGTTGGACAGAAGCCCGTGGAGTTGGGTTCTAAGTGAACAGGAAGCTCGCTTCTACACTGAGGGTTATCTTGAATCTAGATTCGCATGGAGAATGGGGCAAAACTGGTTCCCTAGCATTGGAAGAACATGGAATTACAAATACCCACACTGTCGATCGAATTCATCATCCGTGTTCACAGCAATCCTAAAAGGTTCTAGACCACCTGCGAGGCGCCTCGGCCACATCGGTCAGTGAGCTATCGACAGGTCTCATGCAACCAAAAAAGCTGCCCACGTAGATGGACATCAAAATGAAAGGGACGAGACTCGAACTCGCGCGGGTTGCCCCACCAGGAAACAGATGTTAAGCTGACCTTAACCTGGCGCCATAACCAACTCGGCCACCCTTCCGTGATGTAGATCCTCGGAGACCCGAGAACCTGGAAGTGGATGCTCGATATCCGGCACCGCAATTGTTAAGATTGCAGGTAGAAGAGTGCACGTGCTAGTGTGGACATGATCACGAGCCGAACTCGCTTCACAAGTTCACGATGTTTTGAGTTGTGGGCTGTGGGTTGTGGATATATCGACGCTAAGAACCCTGGCAGCGATAATTTCTTGCGGGCCCCAGGAACTCAAAGATACTCACGTTAGCGCGAAGACTGGAGAACAACAAAATTGGCCAGACGGTCCCAGACCCGGGGAACCGATGTCTTTTTGGTATCGTGGAGGCAGCCGAAATGTCAACAAAATCTTTTTCATCGGGTCAACCCCATATCTGGAATATGTCTAACCTAGGTAGCGTGCATCCCCACGATCCAACCCCACCAGTCACAGCATCGTTTAGTTTACGCGACGTTCAAACCTAAAGCTGATGTGAGCTAACGTACGGATACATTGGCTCTTTGGAATACCCTGGTGAAAGACTGACAACGTGGTCTCTGCACGAAGTATGCCGTCCTGCAGGACAATTGGTGCACCGTGACCAGCAATGCGGATCTCGGCATCTCACATGACACCTCACGGAGAAAAATATGCCAATCAAGAGGGCATGTAATATCTGTCTGACATATGCTGTCGTGAACTAGAAGAGGGGTAGAGCGCTGTTACACAGATTGCAGGAAAAACCTCGTCACGGGACCATTCAGGTGTATGTGAATAGCCATCTTCTTTTTCGGGCAAATGCAAGATCAAACATACGCGTAACAACTGCACGTGTTTTCACTGTGCTTCAAAGCCTTGAACTCCATCATGATCGGCTGAGATCCCGCATCGAAAGCTGGTAGTTCCCCACATTGCTCACCCTAATACTCTTGTCAGAATCAATGTCTTCAGACATCGTCCTTGAGCCTGTACACAGTACATCGTTCCCAACCTAGATCTAATAGTGGCGGCTATTTCGACACAAGTGCAAGAGATTCCAATCGTTTTGATGATCAGCGCGAACCAAAGTGTTGGGTCGAGCCATCCTCGACTCATTTTCTAGGAGCCGCCCAGCCAAATTATCGCGGCTGTCTGTAAACGGGCGCGTCCTGCAACCGAGCCAATTCCAGACCTTTGTAGAGTTCCCAACAAGAAGTTTATCAACATGAAGCTGAAATCACCGTGGTTTAGCGCGACCATGGCATGACATCCATCGACGCCGTGATCATCCCCGGTGCCACGTTGCTGGTATCGCCCGAAAGGGCACGATTGTCCGTAAGGCGATATCCGCAAACGCGTTCCAGCCTCTCTACTTGGATTTCCATTGGCCCCTTGACTGTTGGAAAATTGGTAATATCGCCAAGTTGGGTGACACCTTGGCCATCATTGGCTCGGTTGACACCAACGTGAAGTAACCCTTGCCGGTTTCCCGGGAACCTCGAGCGCGCAAGGCGCCTCAGCTCGAAGTCCGGGCGGCTTCCAAATGTCAGGCTGGTTCGTCGGCCTCGTGTCTTTTGAGAGAACCTGATTAAGCTATTGGGTCTTTGTCTTTGCCCCGGACCCGTGGAGACGGATCTCGCAGCTGGGTGGAACGGGTGTGCATTTTGACTGCATTGGACGCTAATTTCGCGGAGAACTAGCGCTTGGTTGCTGACATGGACCATGGTTTGAGACCACGTTGACACATTCAGCTGTAGAAGCGAAGGGAAATCACTGGGGAATATTGAAGAGCGAGAACTGGGTCTGCGGTTCGTTGTCCATTTGCATCTGCAGCGGCTACAAATCAGCTTGAATGTTCGGTGGGAAGCGGCCCAGTGTTGACCGAGATACCGAAGAGGGGGGCGGCTGAACCCGTATTTCGCGACGCGATGCGGCGGCGTTCCTACAGGCGGCTACGCCTTTCCCCATCTCGGCGGTCCAACGGGTGTGCTACGACGCGCCCTAATGAGAGCCGATGATGGAGGGTGGAAGACGTCGAGAAACTACTTAGTTTAGCAACTCGCCGTTTCAGTAAGTGGCCGCCGCGGTCACATGGGGGAGCTAAGGAGCCGCGTCCATCCAAGCAGCCAAGCAAGTTAAGCAACGCGGCGTACTGTGGAAGTCAGGAAACTAACCCCAAGAGCGAAAAGAGCCCCGAGTTTATGACAAGGCCCCCGTTGGTGAAAGGGCCGATGGGATAAGTTTGCCGGACCCTGACTAGTGTCCCTAACTGGTCCAACTGCGCCGTTTCTCCAAAAACCTTGAGCAACCTCCCACCCCCATTGGAGCGCGTCGGCGCATAGGAGAATATCTGACCGGGCTCGGTTCATCATCAGCCGATATTCGATCCCCCCAGAGTGTCACCCGCCCTTCTTCCCCATTCCCCAGGCTCATGTGGGAACGGGTCTATGGACCAATGCGGGGGGCGGGGTTGAGGACGTTTGGGGAACCCCAATATGCCCAGATTGCGCTTGTGAGGATTCCTTGTGGGATTCAGATCCCCGTCCACCTTTTTTCATACGTTCGCGTTGGTTCAAGTTGCGCTAGCGTAATGACACCCGACTGGGGTTAACTCTTAAGACAATGTTCCATTGGACATGTAAGAAAACGAGAACTGGGGAGTAAGACAAGACCTTTATTAAACAGCCTGCCCAGTACCACCCTCTCTCTCTTGGCTTTCGTCTCTTCTCTGTTCTTGCTTGCTCGTGTTCCCCCGTCCCCCTCCTCCTCCTCATCAAGCAACCCGGCCAAACAACCTCCAACTCCAAATTCTCGGTGAGGTTTCCAAAGAGAGTCTGCAAACATGAGCACCACACTCGACTCCAAGTCCGACCCGGCAAAGGTCGAGGCCTACGGCGACATTGACCATGTCGCCGACCTCGACGAGAAGGCGTTGCCCGCCTCCTACAAGGCCGATGCCATCGAGGCCGAGCAGGCCGAGCACAACATGGGAGTCTTGGAGGCCGTCAAGGCCTACCCCATGGCCTCCCTCTGGGCTTTCATCATGTCTACCACAATTGTAAGTCGCTCTAACTACCTTGGCATATTGCACGCATACGAGGCGACTGGCAACTAATCACATTGGTTTCCCAGATTATGGAGTCCTACTGCGTCTTCCTGATGGGTGCTTTCGTCGCCATGGACGAGTTCAAGGGCACATATGGTGTCGACACGAGCGAGGGCAAGGCGATCGAGGCGTCATGGCAATCCGCCCTTCAGATGGGTGGTCCTCTTGGCGCCATCATCGGTGTCTGCATCGCCGGTCCCATCACCAGTCGCATCGGATACCGCTGGGCTACCATCTCTGGCCTCATGCTCCTCAACGCCTTCATCTTCGTCTTCTACTTCGCCAACTCGCTCGCCGTCATGTTCGTCAGCCAACTTCTCGAGGGTATTCCCTGGGGTATCTTCATCGCCAACGCCCCCGCATACTGCTCTGAGATCGTGCCCATGCGCCTGAGAGCTCCCGCCACACAGATGCTTCAGATGTTCTGGGCTATTGGTGCCATCATCGTCGGTGGTGTCTGCTATGTCTACGAGAGCAAGAGAGACCCCAGCGCGTACAGAGTCCCGATTGCCCTCCAGTGGATGTTCCCCACGCCCCTTGCCATCCTTCTGTTCCTCGCTCCCGAGTCTCCTTGGTGGTTGGTTCGTAAGGGACGTCTCGAGGAGGCTGCTGTCTCGGTCCGTCGTCTTGGTCGTTCATCTGCCGTTGCCAACATTGAGGAGTCCGTCGCCATGATGCGTCGTACCATTGAGCTTGAGAAGGACGTCAAGGATCCCAGCTACATTGAGCTTTTCAAGGGCACCGATAGATACCGCACCCTTATTGTCTGTGGTGTCTACGCCGCCCAGAACCTTACTGGTAACCTCATCGCCAACCAGGCTGTTTACTTCTTCAGACGTAAGTTTTCATAACCTGTCTCCTTCTAAAGGTGTATGGAGGCTAACACACAAGCAGAGGCCGGTATTGGCTCCCAGCTTGCCTTCGCCCTCGGTCTCATCACCTCCGCTCTCCAGACCGTCTTCGTCATGCTTTCCTGGGTTCTCACAACCTACCTCGGCCGCCGCACCATCTACGTCTGGGGTTCGCTCATCAACGTTGTCTTCCTCATTGCCCTCGGTATTGCTGGCTCCGTCGGCAAGTCCACTGCCGCCTCCTTGGCGATGGCCTCTTTGGGTCTTATTGTCTCCGTCGGTTTCACTCTTGGACCCGCCCCCGCCTCGTGGGTCATCATCGCCGAGACATCCTCCATTCGCCTTCGTCCTTTGACCACTGGAATCGGCCGTGCCGCTTACTACGTCGTCAACATTCCCTGCATCTTCCTCGCCACCTACATGCTTAACCCCACCGTAAGTCCCCCCCCCTCTCTCTCTCTCTCTCACACACACACACACACAAACACACACACACACATTTCGTAAGGAGAATTATTTACTCACACACGCAATAGGGTGTCAACTTGGGCGGCAAGTGCGGTTACGTCTGGGGCGCCACTGGTTTCGTCTGCTTCGTCCTCGCTTTCTTCTTCGTGCCTGAGATGAAGGGCCGTTCCTTCCGCGAGATCGACATTATGTTCAAGCGCAAGATCCCCGCCCGCCAGTGGAAGAAGACCGTCATCGACATCAACGATGACGAGTAGATGCGCACTCATTACAGCTTATAATACTGGGATCAGGTTCTACTAAGCCTGAAGTCCTTTCGCTTAGTGAGAAGTAATGCGGTCAACGCGGGATGGCTCTAATAAGATTGTGCCGTGACGAAGAGGGTACAAAAAGGGGAAGAGGTGAATGGGAAATGATTTGAAGAGTATATGAGACTCCGGCCAGATATCTGAATATTATCAGCAGCTTGGCCCTATATCTACTTCTGCCCGATCTACATGAATTGTCAAGTGTGTCCGTGATTCATCGCGCTGAATGCTAAATGTACCTTATATATTGCCAGTACGATCAACCGAAAGTGAACCTGCAATGCGCCAGCTGAGTCAATGGCAGTAGGCCGCAAGGATAGCAAGGTTGTAGGCAAGATCTAGAGTCAGGTCGCAACTCAGTGTACCACTAGCAACGTGGTGACTGAAAGCCCCTTTCTCTCGGATAAATAGAAGGTCATTTCATACATGTTTGCTGGAAGCGACTCTCGATATTATTGATGTATCCTAACCAGCTTTAACTGGACCCACACGCACCCGTCCACTCCTCTCTGAACGACTAACACAGACGAGGTTATTTGAGCCTCTTACCTCATTCTCGACATGACCGTCGCTCGCGTCTGTCGCCCCCTCTAGGATCCACGCCGTCTCATCAGACACAATCTGCGCCACGCCCTGCCAATAATTCCCTTGACTAGAGTACTGACTCTGTACCATGAAAACAAGTACCACGGCAAGACCACACGCCATGTTCAGAGCCATGACGCCAAAGATGATGAGCAGACCCCGAAGGCTTCTTGGCGTCATCACGCGCACCGAAGAAGTCAAGATGGCGTTGCCCTGGACGTCGAACTGCGGAAGGGCTTCGTTGATGATAGAGCCTGAGAGAGCCGTTAGAGTCGACTGCATCGCTACGCCGGGACGACTGGTGACGTTAAGGATGTCGGCGAAGATGGCCTGGTACTCAACGTGCGGCTTGATGGGAGAGTTCCCGCTGCCTTGGGGATCCATGAAGAGGGAAAAATTGAATGTTCGCGGCGAGTTGTATAAGTCGTTGATGAGCTTGTTGGTTAGGTATTGCGTTGCGTTTAGGTGGTGGGGGTTTTGCACCGAGTCCACCGAAAAGATCCCGCGACTGTTGGTGCTTTTGCTGTGGGCTCCAACACCCATGAGTTTCTGAATTCTCTTCGTGTTCCAAGCCTTCGTCTCTGGAGTCCAAGTTACTTGCGACTCTTTTAGGTCCTTCTTGCTGGAAAGCTTAACTTCCGCAAAGTTGAAGGCTAACTGCTGGAAGCAGAGCGACATGTCCAGCCGCAACACGCCCGTCTCGATTCTTTCCCCTCCTTGAAGCCTTCCCCCAATGGGACGATTGTATGTGAGCCATTCATCATCAGTAGAAGTAACATTTGTCAGACCGAATGTCCCCGCCAGGACACGATTGCCCGGTCCTTTCCACAGATCATGGGTACCGTTATTTCTGAAGAATAGAAATACCTGGGAGTACGCGGTGATGGGGTCTTCTGAGATGGTGTGGTTCTGAGCGCTCGGCCGCGCGGCTATGCCATTGGGAATGCACAAGCTGTTCGTGAAGCCCTGCCGTGCTTGCGTTTCAGTGTATTGAAACTGAGATAGCGAGCAGTTGAAACCTGACGGAAAACAATCCCCGTTTTCACAGTTTTCTGGTGGTGATAGTCCCGCCTCGCGGAACATGGTCTCGTATGATAAAATGCCCGCGACCTTTAGGTAGAAAGGGACAGTATCTGAGCCCGGTGCTGGAACAGTCACCGAGAGGAAGGCGGACACCGATGGACGGAGACATACAAAGCGCGACTCGAAGCCGTAAGCACCGCCGGTGTATTGACGCAGCGTCGACATTTGCGATGATGAGAGGGGCAAAAAGGTTCTTCTTACAATCCCGGTATCGCTGAACCTCGACTGATTATCTGTATATGTGTTTGCCTCTGATGGCAACTCGCCAAATGGCACATATGCTGTCGGACGACTGATCCAGTTGTTCATCTGTCGATTCAGGGAGATGACATCGTGGCTCATATGCACATCGAATGTCTTTGCTTTGGCATCGCCGACAAGATTATCCAACCCCAGATCAGATACCAGAAGAGTCGACGAGAACTGAACAACAAACGTCGTGAGCAATAGTATGATTGCTAACCCGGTCTGCAAGTATGCTTTTCGTGCAGACGTCATGAGCAACCAAGTCAATTGGAAAGGCCCGTCGTTTGTACACCGGATGATAGACATCTCAGCAACTCGAAAGAGAGCGACACCGTGCTTCTCTAGAACCACGCCCGCAAGGAGACTTGTGTAGATGGACGCCTGTGCTGTGACTGCGATACGCAGTAGAACTGTTGACAGGGTGATGGCCTGAGTAATGTGTTGGTTGAGCATGATCCACCGCCACAGGGTCGCGGCTGTCTTGCCGTCTTGCGAGCCTTCGCCGGTCCATAGGAAGAGGAGGAAACCGAGGAGTGCGAGGACCAAGGCTGTGCCGCCGCCTACTGTTGCGAGACCTAGAGAGCCGAGACCTTGTCGAAGACGGTGAGAGTAGCTTGGCGAGTGCTTGCTTTCTGAACTGTCGTGCTCCGGCTTGAGCTTGGGTTTCGAGGACTTGAAGCGTGTCATGCCTGATACGAAGCAACGTCCAGGGCTTGCTTCAACGGAAAATAAGAGGACTGTCAACGAAGTACATGGGTGAGGTAGCACAAGCTCACGAAGACACCTCCCAAATGCTCAAAGAGCAGAATACGATGCGCATCAAGTTGGCTTTAAGCTTATCCTCAGGACCGACTTGATCCCCAGAACACCTGGTCATTCCGCTCGCCAATCCCCAGGGGTAGCAGGAAACATGCATATTTCTAAACATCATCCCCCACGTCTAACACTGCATAGGCTGCAATTATACGAGCTATTGACCAATCTGCCTTGCCGGACTAGACAAGCTGTCACACATCGGCTCCGAGCAGTCGGTATCGACGTCAGTGCATTGAGGTTGGACGTCAGCGCATCACCTACAACTCTTTCACTCACCCGAGTCAAGATTGTGATGCATGAATACCAGGCGGGAGCGATGTGCCATCCCGTGGGGATGTTGGTTGTTGGATGACCTCTGTGCGAGGTGAATGCAGGGATGCTCCGGCAAGTCATGTCGCAGAGACCGAAAGAAGCTCGACATGCCTGCTCCGATCGCACACGCTAGGTCTTGAGTTGTGCCGCGCACGATAAGGCAACAATTGAATGTCGATAGGGGCACCAACAAGCAGACGATGTAAGGAGGTGCAGCCTATCAGATGCTTAGGCAGGCCTCTCGAGTGATCAAAGCTACTGGTGGAAATGAAAGGCAGAGTTACCTCGGTGAAATAAACAATAAAGAATGCGATAATACTGTCAAGCTTTGCAGCCACGCGTCCAGTATCGCTGGAGAACGGACGAGTTCGCTACCATCCAGCTTTCTAGACGGGAATTGAACTATAATGACGTAAAAGTACAAAATACTGCTTCACACACTTAGAGGATCATGATTAGCATCACACTCACTAGGGATCAAGCAAACAGGCATAAAGGGCAAAAGGCAAAAGATAGAAAAAATAATGAGGTCGTACCCGGGTTCGAACCGGGGTTACCAGAAGTTTTGATGCAATCAAAATCTGGAGTGATAACCGCTACACTATACAACCTTATTCAGAGTGGGTTGTTCTGTGATTGGTCAAGAGATTTGTAGACTTATACAGGCAATAGTCATGTGTGTGGAGTTGTCGTCTGGCAAGTGCCCCTTCACCTGAAAGTCAATGACGCGCGTGTAAAAAACCATGAGTTGTCCTCATTGTGTTCAGCGTCCGACTCCATACATAAGGCTGTTCCTGTAGTGTTTAATATGCGTGTCTAGTTGTCCAAGTTCATATCATTGAGTTGCCTTGGCACTCACCTTCATCCAAATGGCCAAATTTCCAAGACGTGCTTCGCCATCAGATCAGATAGATGGAACACGCTTATGAAGAGGATCCGGCGAATCGCGGTGTTGTGTATGGTGCGAAATTTCATTTCTTTCATCCCCAGGAACTTACAATTCCATCCTGCAATATGTCCCAGGGGATAGTCTGTCTTGGCAACGCGATGCTCCGTGGCAGTGCGCCGATATTTGAGCCGCCTGGGACTTACTCTTGGCACCCAGTCCCGAGTGCGGCGTGTTCAACAAACTTGGCCGAAAGGGCGCTATACAGCAGAGAACGTGTTCGACCTTCGCCTCATTCCTGCATGCGGCAATAGTGAGGCAACAATTTGACAGGAATTTCTGTTCATGTTGATCACGAGCCCCTCATAGCGACCAGAAATTCTCGATGCTGCTCAGTTCCTCCCGAAAGTCAATGACTCGAGCGCCTAACAACGCCCTCTCCACAAGCCCAGTGACGCGGGTCATCCCTGATTCCAAGCCGAACTCTATCTGCAGAAAAGCTGGGAAACAATCTAAAAAGGTTTCTGCAACTTTATTGCAGTTGGCATGATGGGTCACTCTGCGGGCGAGCGTTTTGCTGCTAAACCCCCTTACCAATACCACCGCAGCAGTTCATCCGGTGTCCGGTGCTGCCGAGCTCGACGCGAGCGGATGCCTCCGTTACAACTTGCGGTAGAACTGCCCGGCGGCGTGGTGCATCTAGACGATGCCAAGAAATCATGATTGAACGTTGGGAATTAGGGGGGATCGGAGTAGAGATGAGATATAAAGCAAAGCCCCAAATGCGTGGTTTTCGGGAAGCGATGTCCTCTAGAAGCCTCCAAGCTCTGCCAGTCCAACTTCAGTCTCTCCTTTTTCGCTGCATTCATTCACCATGGTCCGTCTTTTCAGCCTCGCCGCTTTCGCGACGGCATCACTCGCTTCGTGCACACAGGCCCAGGGTCTAGAGACCTGCCTCGAAACTGCCGGCCTCCTCACATCGTTCCCCGAGACCAACGCCTCGTTCCCGACCGATATCCTCCCGTGGCAGCGCCGCATCGCCCCCACTCCGGCCGGTGTCGCCTGGCCGCGCACCACCGATGAGGTCGCCGCCGCTCTCGCCTGTGCTCGGGAGGCAAAGGTTCTGGTCGCGGCCCGTGATGGCGGCCACTGCTACGGCTCCTACAGTCTGCCCAACGCAGGGCTCACCATCAACATGACTCACTTCCAGGAGACCAAGTATGATGAAGCCACCGGTCTGCTTACCTACGGCGGCGGCTCCCTTGTGAGCCCCGTCGTCAGCCAGCTCTGGAAGGAGCACGGCGCCCGCTTCCCTCACGTCCGCGCCAACATGGTCGGCCTGATCGGCTCTTCCATTGGAGGCGGCTTCGGCTCCCTGTCCCGCATGCTCGGAACCCCCATGGACTACCTCGAGGGCGCCACTTACATGCTCTATAACGGCACCATTGTTGAGACCTCCCGCACCAAGAACCCCGAGCTTTTCTGGGCCCTGCAAGGAGCCGGCAGCTCCTATGGTATCATCCTGAGCCTCACCACCAAGACCTGGAAGCCCACGTACCAGCAGGCCATCAACTACACCATCACTCTTACCGACAGCTCCCTCTCCGCCGGCGTCGACTCTCTCCTCGCCATCCAGGAGCACTACCTCTCCGGCCAGTGGCCCGACGAGCTCACCATGCGTTGGTCCTTGACCGCCCCTCCCTACACCGGCTCCGGCTTCTACTGGGGCAACCCCGAGGACTTTGACAAGCTCCTCGAGCCCCTCATGGCCAAGCTTCCTAACGGCACCCAGCTCACTCGCACCGTCCAGGACTTCTGGGCCGTCGAGAATGTCGCTACCCCCTCCATCGACACTCCCGTCGACACCTTCCCCCCTCGCAACTTCTACCTCCAGGCCCTCGTCCTCCGCGAGGACCAGCCCTTCACAAAGGCCTCTGCCACCGCCCTCTACAACTTCACCACCGTGGCCTTCAACCGCACCGACCTCACAAAGTTTGGCTTCATCGACCTCTGGGGCGGCAAGCCTACCAAGGCCCTCAAGGACGACGACACTTCCTTTGCCCACGCCAACAGCTTGTGGCTCATCCGCTGGGAGGGCCGTCTTGCCACCGGCTTGACCGAGTTCCCCGCCGACGGCCTGAGCTACATGCAGAACGGCTTCCAGCCCTTCAAGGACCAGCTCGCCGCCGAGGGCGTGCCCCTTCGTGGCTTCGTCAACTACCGCGATACGGCTCTGACCGTTGATCAGTGGAGCGAGCGCCTGTACGGCAAGAACTATGCCAAGTTGCAGGAGATCAAGGCCGTGTACGACCCCGAGGGCATGTTCACTGCCCACCCGCAGAGTATTCCTCTGCCTGGCCAGCAACCCCCTGCCGCCATCAACTAGACGAGATATTTGATCACTTGGAAGATGTGAAAGAGGCCTCTGGAGGCAATTGAAAAGTCTGTACATATCGACTGGAGCAGGACTGTTTCGAGTCCTCTCCAAATACACATATACTTGGAGCGGATTATAGAACCATTGATTCGTAGAAGAGGGGTGCTCACACAGCAAACTTGGTTGATTGAAACATCCAGTTCGAAAGTGCTCAGCCTCAGCCGCGTTATTTGTGCCCCGACATGCCTCAAGTTTTCTCCAACGGTCAAGCTCTCAAGCAGCCAGTTTCCCTCCGTCCAAGATCCTTCTCGCCGATTCCTTCACCGCGTTCATCGCCACAAGGTACAAACTCGGTCCCACACTGATCCTAGCTACCCCAATCTCACCCAGCTCCTTCGTTGACAACGAGTCCGCCCGATCCCCGAGCTTAACAGCAACCCGCCCTCCGAGCTCTTTCACGAGCACACGAACCTCCGATGTCCGCAGCCCGCGTCCCGAACCGCCCCAGAAGAACACAGTCGTCGCTCCGGCCTCCAGGTACGCCCGGCCCCGCTTCACGGCTTCCAACAGGACGCTCTCGTCGTCAGCCGCGCAATACGGCTCGAGGCGGAACACATCGCACCGGGCATTGAGGACAAAGTCAGGACACCCCGCCTCGCGAGCCGCCTCCAAGGCGCTCTTGAGGCGAGCGACTTGCGTTTCTACGCCGTAGAGGGGCCCTTCGATGCCCTTCTCGAATCCGGCTGACGGAATGCTGTCCTCAATGTTGGCACCGCTAGCGCCCAACGTGACTACTTCTGTTACGACCTCGTCGATCAGATCTCCGTATCCGTCTTGGAGGTCGACGGAGAGTGGCAGGCCGGCGGCTTTGGCGGCGGGCGCGAGTTGGCCTATCGCGGCCATGTTTTGCTCTAGCTCGAGGTCCTCATCTTTGACGCCCACAGTTGCTGCGATGGCCCATGATGCGGTTGCAATGGCTTTCACGGGCTTTGAGTCGGTGGTGTTAAGCGAGATGATCGCGTTGAGGGAGGCTAGGTCCCAGACGTTGGCGAAGATGACTGGCGATGCGGGGACGTGCAGCTGCTTCAGCTCTTGGGCGAGTTGGTTGCTCATGTTGGGCAGTATGATGTCTTGTTTGGTGATCAGCTTCACGTATGGACAATGGGAGCAGGATTCTCTATACTCAAGTCTGTGAAGTTTCGATGTGACGTTCAGCCTGAACTTAAAGATGACTCCGAGAGGGATTCACTCGAAAGGCCCCAATGCGCTAATGACGACCGAAGGGCGTCGTCCCGA